CTTCCTTGGAGTGGTATCTCTCCTGAATAAAGCCCCTGAAAGGAGCTAATCCTGTGCCAGGTCCCACCATGATTACAGGCGTAGATGGCTTGAAGGGCAGGCGGAACTGTGACTTGCGGACATAGATGGGCACTGTCGGGATGTGCTGGGGTCCATTGGGAACTTTTCCCTTTAGCCAAGAGGTGGCTACACCATTGACCAGTCGACCCACACGGGTGGTGTAACGAGTCAGCACAGCCGTGATATGGATGCTATTCGGGTGCAGCTATGGAAGGTGAAAGGACAAAGAACACATTACATAAAACTTATACAAAAAATCCACAGTTACACATGTAAGTTCCCTTTCACTGATTGCTACTCAAAGGGTTAACTGCCATCTATTTGCTAATAAGAGTTCCGTATTCATGAGCAAAACTGTGATGTCATCTCAGGAAAAAAGTCTCAGTGTTTCATTGCTTTACACAAAAAAGTCCTGCATTTTTGTAAGCACCGCTGGACTTATTTTTCTTTTCTTTACTGATTCATTGTTGTAAATGTCCAGTGAATGAAGTTATGAATTTTTACAGAATTTTGAAAACAGAAAAAAACAAAAAGTCACCCGGCCCAGCAGAATCAAGATGGATAAATGGGCCTGGCACGAAGTGGTTAACACCACTTTGTCAGTAATTTTGTTTCAGTTTGCATTAGGAATGCAAACCCAGGTCTTTGCTTTGATGTATTACTCAGTTTGACATCCTGATGAAGAGGGACCTTGTTGAAGGTTCCTATCAATTTACACTGGTGCAAGGGTATTTTAAAGTACTCAAACTCTCAAGTGGCTTGGGACTCATTTTACTAGATTGGGATATTATTTTCCACTCCTGCAACCGACCATCCGGGGGGGGGGGAGATATTTGTTACCTTTGGTGAGGATGAAATGGAGTAATAACGAGCATGGAGGCGAGGTAACAGCTCACACAGATGATCCAAAGGAGGTTTGAGAGAAGGAAGATCTTCCAGGATAGCAACGATGCTACGATGGTCATGGATCACCCACTCACTGTACTCTCTCTACAAAGACAAAACAGAAATCATCCATAACTTTGTTGTAACCTTTCTCCAACTGTGATTTATATAACCTTTAATCTCTCGGCAACAGAAACTCTGGTAAGTTAGGTAAAGCGGTTTACGGTAGCACCATGCAAGGATCTATCTTATGAGTATGTGTGGTTCTGAAAAGAACCGGAGGGTACTCAATGTTTCACACAGTATGCTCAGTCCGTCATCACGAGACTGCAGAGGGTCCAATGATGAAGTAGCTTGCCAACTTCACCATGAAAAGCTTCAAAGCTCATAGTCTTTGGTAGCAACCTAGAAGACCTAGAAACCAGGACTACCTAACTTCAGTTCTACAAGAGATACACCTGCAACGATTTCCTTGAGGCTCCCTCCCAAATTCAGGAATTTTGTTACCTTGCCCTCTGGTGTAGCGGATGACAACAAAAGCAGGAACTCCTTCTCTTTGGGATCTGAGGCATACTCAGCGATGTCCTTCAAGACGTTGGTACGAGGAGGTGAAGTGATGTCCAAGTAGTGGGAGAACGCAGTACGGTACGAACAGGGACAAGGGAATGGGTGCTTCTTGCTGGCTTCCTCTGTGATACAGGGTACCAGGCCAAACAGAAACAAATTATATTAGTAAGGCTGGGGCCGGCAGTGATGGGTGTAGCCTTCAAAAAGTGCCACATCCACATCCATCTAGTGTGTGGGTTAAAACCCCTTATGGAACATGTGCCTTGTGTTCCTTGGCAAGACACTTTACTGTATTTGCCCCTCTCCATCTACGAGTATAAATGGGTACCTATGAAGGTATAGACAATTTTGCACTGATCTTGAGATGTTACCATGGTTACAGAATACTATTACTCTTTCCCACTGAATGGAGTAATAAATGAAACCATTGAGTTTAAAGTAATAACCACTACCTGCCGGGGACTCCAAAATCGGAGCCGTACGGTTTATATGTGTGGCCGGGGTCTCCGAACTCGGACAAAGGAAACAGGGCCCTGTAACAAAAGACCGTACTCTGAACAAAAGACCTGGCTGCTGGGCATTACCGGCATTTTTCACTCTCAAAAGTGGTGATAATCCAGCCTTGTTTTGAAACCGCATACCAGGGTTTGGGGCATTGAGAGCAAGCGGATTACCACCGGGGACAAAAGCGCTTCACCACCGCAGCGATGAGCCACACAGCACCGCTGCACGCTAATCTGGCCCCTATTGAAAAGAGGTCAGCAGTGCACTGAGCCTGGTTTGTGAACAAAAGACAGTTATACAAC